GTGTGTCTTGGAGTGACAGAGCCATCATTGCAAAGCTGTGCTGAATTCCTAAAGCCCGGATGCATATACTCCTGACGTGTTTGGTCTCTATCTACCAGTGGATGCCTTTCATCAGTGAGGTCGGTAAAGTTTCACCTTCTGTTAGACAGTGACAGGGAGTCTTGCTTTCTTTACTTCAGAAAAAGCAGTCCCTAAGTTTAGCACCAGCTGTTAAGCCTTAATCCAAAAACTCATTTGCAAAAAGTGCCCAAATCCAAAGTTACTGCAGCCCTTCAGCAGCCTTGTAGGTGTGAGAAGTTTCTTCAGTCCAAAGTAGCTCATATTGAAAAACATGTGAAGGAAGAGGCTTTCAATGTAAATCATGAAATCCACGCAGAACTTACACATGTGAGCGATGTCAATGCTTATAATACTCTATGTAATACAGGGGTCCTCACATTCCCATGTGAATCAACACTCAGAGACTATACAAACTTTACTCCCCCAAAAGCTGGCATCAATGGAAGCGTTCTAGATGAGGGCAAGAGTGCCTGTAAAGGACTCCATCCACATCAGGGCTTTGTTGTTCTTCTGCATGATGAGATGACCTTGAAGAATGACCTTAATATTCGACTGTGTTAGTGGTGAAATGGTTGGATACGTTCATCCCAGCGAGTGGCAGATGACAGATGATCCATGCGACAATGTGGCCACCCATGTCCTTGCCTTTTACATTGTAGGAGTCTCATCACACTTAAAGATGAGCTTGGGATTTTTTCCCACCAAGACTGCCACAGCTGATGCACTCTTCACTCTATTATGAAAGGCCATTGCCTATCTGGAAATATCCTGTGATCTTAAGGTGATTATTGTAGGTTTTTAATTTGTACATTTACATGTGGGTCTCATTGTTGTATCGTTGTTGTCAATGAAAAATGAACAGATTCACTGAGAGATTGAAATATTGTATTCCATTTAAAAATAACTAATGAACTGTACCACTTCCAGGTCATCGCCAGCACCAGTGACAACGCTTCTCAGAATCAAAAGCTTTATTGCATGTACAACCAGGGCAAACCCTGCTTCAAGGCACCCAATATGTATGCCAAGGACCGGAGATATCTAGTTTTTTGTAATGTTCCTCATTTTGCGACTAATACTTGCAGAACCACTTTCAAAGGTTGGCAGAACAAACTTTGTAGATCTATCATAAATATAAAGCTAAAGACAAATGGCACTTTGTTTTAGTACCACCCAAACAAATTGCAGTTTTGAAGATTTTCGAAGGCCATTCAAAGCGACTTGCCAAGTTACTGTATTGTAATAACTAGACGGGCCCACTGTCATACCATTTTTCGGCACTCATCATGATTGGACATTGTGATTGCTTTCTGAAATATTTAACAGTGTTTTTTCCTTCCTCGGGTAATTACTACTTCAGATAATTTCTTACTGAGAAGGGAAGTTCCTCCTCTCAAAGTCAGCATTTAGCAACTCCTTGAAGACACAAGAGCTTTTTATTTAAGCTGTCCACCTACATTTGATAACATCCATAATTAATGCCATGTTTTCCACTTGTTTTGCAAAGAAATTTTCCAAGGAGGTCTGTCGCCAAAGTGACGTAAACACACCCTTCATTTTGATGCAATGATTGATGAATGTCAAGGCTGTCCATAGTTTGGATTGAGCTAGCAAAAAGTGAGCATAGTGGTGAATTGGTTAAGACAGCTGCCTTGTAAAGGAGTATGTTGTAGGTTTGAATCCCAGCCTTGCACACGAAAGATTTTTTTGTCTTGGGGAACCCTGAGTGTTCAGTGCCAATAAAGTTGTTGCATAAAGGTTTTGTACATCAAAATGAATTAGCTTACTTTATCTTGCGATATCTCTCTTTATTAATCATATCTCCTTGAAATAGTTGGTATAGGAGCCATTCCTTTAATCATTGGTATTGATGCCAGAGTCCAGTAACCCAAATTTCATGATGACTTGACCTCATTACACATTTTGAATGTATCATAGAATTTTGTACATGTGTACCTGCAGAATATTTATGAAGAACTCTTCTCTGTTCTACATGTCTTCTGGAAACCACTGTCGTCAGTTATGCCACTTAAGGCTTTTGTAATAAGGAAATTAAGAAGGAAAAAGGTAGTATACAGAATTTTCTAATAAAAAACACAAATTTTATTTGACAAATTCATTAGAGACAACTTTAACTGAAATATAATTATAATAAATGAAGTTCTTGAAGAAAGTACAACGTACATGTGTTTATTTACATTTTGTGGTTTAGAATTTTTAGTGGATTTGGTAGAACGACAAACACGCTAACTTAAGGTACTCTTCAGAAGTGCTTGATTGCTCCTCCTCAGGCAAAGGTTCATCTAAGCAAGCCAGGAACTCATCATTAATCTCTGCCTGAAAATATATTGGGTTGATAGTTTGTATTTCCAAGCACCACTATAAGTAATCTTATGATAAGAAATATTATTAATGTTTACCTAACATCATCTCCCAGAAGTTTACAAGGCATCAAACTACATAAACAACTGTCAAAACTAAGACAGTAAACCAAAAAAAATCTAGAACCTAGGCTCTGGTCGAATTTTGTGATGGTTGAGCTTACACAGTCACATCCCATATTTTGAATGTTGGACCTATGAATTAATATCAACTCCTTGAGTTACTACTGCCTACATGTCATGAATATTTAATGAGTATACAAATAAAACTTGATGAAAATGATGTATAGTTTGTTATTTCTAGTGTTTTGAAGATCAGTGTTTTATAATGCAAAATTTTCTACAAGGATTTGAATTTTTCTTAACCTTTCAATGAGGAATTAATTTGATGTGTTGTGGCTGCTTTTCTGTGTCTACTTTTTGCCCAGTCTTTTTATAATGTTGGGTTATTACTTCATTGATTTGACACAAACTCAGGTACATCTTCTAGTTGTTCCAAGAACATACCGGTCCTGAGGTGACTGATCAGTCAGAATCGCTGCTCCTCAAGTGTATGGTCCAGCACATATGTATCTCATTTTATTTACAACGTTCTTGTATGATCTTGCTTGAAGAGTTAGCCTGTAAATTTTCTTGTGTTGCTGTTTGTAGCACTATAAGAAATTTTAGGTCGATATGTGTGCTTAATAGAAATTGTTTAATGTTATTATTTAACTCAAAAATTGGCATTGTAATTGAATCCAAAGTTGCTCATTCTCCAAACAAAATAGTAATCTGTAGTGATGGGGCATTTCGGAATGATTCATACATAAGAACATGTAAGTATCAGTGAAGCTCATTTGAGTGGTTTGTGAAGTGGTTCAGAAATTGCTAACAATTTCAAGCATTCCTCAATTTCATGGAGTCCTGTGGTGGTTTTAGTCTAGACGGTTTTGTTGCAATGACACACGTATAATAATGAATCCAAGGCACAAGATGAAGAGAAGCAAGTTTGGATCCAGCACTGAAGGTGTTGACTGCACGAAATACTGTCAATGTTTCACGTAGCCCAAACCCGTACACGTTAATGAATTGAACAGAGGTGTGATGTCAGGTGAAAGGTAACAGCAAGAGCGTCATAGACTCGGGACTCCATGTTAGTGTAACAATGGGAAACAGTTTAAGTCAGAGAATAGACTCGGAACTGTAGATTCATGGAAGAATGGGCTTGGCTTTGCCTTGCCCATTCTTAGCTCGAATCTAGTTAGTCATCCATTCTCCTTGACATAAAAATTTAAATGTTTCATCAAATGCACATGGACATGTTTTATGGGAATTGGAAAGAATACAAACGTGAATAAGTTTCCCTGTTTATTATTTTACATTGAAAGGGTGCTGAGGCTAATGAAAAGAGTCTTTGATGGAATTGTATTGGACCCAGATCAAGTCCTTGAATCTTAAAGCTTGAGTCCAAGTCCACCTAAAGTGGACTTGGTGTGGACCTGTACCCAAGTCTGAGTCCAGACTCAAGTCCTACAACACTGGCTACAGTGAAAGTTACAGTGAAAATCATTATACAAATATTGTGCAAATGACTCTCAGGAGTCAGTCATTATTATTTTTGTACTTCATTTTGCAATTTGGCTAATGTAATTTGCCTTTTTGAAATTGAAAACAGCACTTTTTTTGCTAAAAACACATTAATCCAAAAGCTGGGACTGGTTTATTGCAAAAAATCTGTGTATCAAGTGATTAAAATTTGTGCATGCATTTTGTTGCTTTATTTTAATTTCATAGACAAGTAGCCCACTCTTACAGTTTATTAGGAAATGAGAAAGCTAACATCTGATAGGCGTTTGGAAATAACAGTACATATTGGAAAAACCTAAGAATGATGTGTTAACGAATGCATACATTCTCTGTTAAATCCATGATTTAAATTCGCAACCTCTACTGTTCTAACATCAATGACTTTAACCTTTGACCTATGGGGTTCTAAATTGATTGGCTTCGGAAGAACACCAAGATCAACCATTATAGATGGAAGTTGCTCTCCTCGAGTTTTGGTCGGAAAACCATTTCTGTTGTTTCATTTTGATGATCTTGACTATGGGGACACATTTGTTGTAGGAACAAACTTTTATTCATATATATTATTTTGTACTGAATTTTCTAACAGAAGAAACTCTCCCTAAATGCAGTGTGACCAGACCACACAAGTGTGTAAACACTTTTAATTGTGGACTTACTATTGCACTCCAGTTGTTCATACGTACTTCAACTTTTTATGAAGACCTCCTCTTGGATTTGTACATGTTTTCAGTTGTATACCCTTATGAATAACAGTACCAACTTTCGTCTATTGATAAATGTCTACTGTTTGAATGTTTATAATTGCATGGAATTACAAGGAAAATGCAGTGTGGCAAAAGCATAAAAGATAACAGCCGATAGCCTGCGTCTTATACTTCAAACAGTGGAGTTTTATTTTAACATTTTAAGCTTGAGAGAAGTTGTATGTGCTAACACACTTTCAGAACTTTTCTCAGTGTGGTATATCTTATTCTCCCTAACCCACAGGTGAACTTCAATGAGCCCTTATCTATGCTGCAAAGATTGGCTGAAGACTTGGAATATGCTGGTATGCTACACTCAGCAGCTGAGTGTAAGACGACAGTAGAAGAAATGTGCTTTGTTGCCGGTTTCACCATTGGTGCCTATGCATCTACTGCAGTCCGCAACACAAAACCCTTCAATCCACTCCTAGGGGAGACCTATGAGTTTGACCGGTCAGACGATTTAGGTTGGAGAGCACTTTGTGAACAGGTAAGCACTAACAAAATAACAAAACTGGAACAGCCAATAATGAATTTGCCTCATGAAATAGAATACAGTAAATTCCCATTATAGCACTCTCAAGGGGACCTAACAGAACTGAGCGTTTTAACCCCACAGTGCTATAACCGACTTAATGGACGCGCAACATGTGCAATGTGCACATATACTTCTGTGTACATGTATGGATACATGACAAACTTGTACATGTATATACATGGATGTGAATTTTCAGAGTATATGCCTTGTATTCGTTTATCTCAACGTTTTCGTGTTACCGATAACAAAAAAAAACAACAAATATCTTCGAAAACCACCACAGGACCTCGTGCATGCTGCATCACGGCACAGGCACTGCATCTACATCCACTGCGACATCTTGTCTGCTACTGCATTTATGGACAGTCCAGTTGCTGACTTTTCCCAATAACCATGTTTCATATGCTTTGATTTTCAAAGAATCTGATTTTCCAAGGTAAAGAGTGCTGTAACTGGAATCATTTCACATGCTTTAAATGGTCCTCGGGGCCGAAAATCATGAGCGTTCTATCGTGAAAAGCGTTATAAACGGGAGCACTATAACCACATAAAAATGTACATAGTGAATGGGCATACAGTTGGGGAAATGAAAATAGAGCATTATATCGGTAAGAGCGTTACATAGGGAGCGCTATAACCACAATCTATTCTATTCAATTAGTTTTATGATTTTAACCATTGCACTTATGGCCATTCATTATCAACTTCCTGATTTTGATTGGGAATTGCTATTTTCTTTCTTAAAGCCATATTCCCATTAGATATTTTGGTTTGTACCACAGCTTTCCTGTCGAATGATTAAATCACAGTAGAACGCTGCTATAACAAACCTGATGGAGTATAACAATTTTCAGTCATGAATGCACACTCCCATTCCAAATTCTCACCCATTTTCAAATGTGCCACCACCTACCCCACAAATGTTTAGATATTACAATTTTGGGCAAGCAATTTAAATGCCAGAAATAAAGTTAGAAATAATAATGTTCAAATTCCCGCATGTTGTTAAATGTCTGTTTGTCTCCTTCCATGTTTTACCTTTTGGGTTGTCCTCACTAGAAGTACAATTGTGAAATGAATCAAATTTTCCTTGGGTCATTGCTTAAAATTCGCATGTTACACTGTTTCCTGTTGGTAAAATGGCTCTTTAATAAATGGGGCGGACCGGGAACCATTCTAATACATCAGCTTTGGAAGTACATACTTGTCTCAAGTTGACAACAAAATGTCACACAAACATTTTTTTAAACGATTGAAAAGCGCAAAATATTACTGAAGATTTGTGCGGGCTACTTCTTCTGTCTATTTGCATATTTTTGAGGTCAAATCTCCGGGCTTTGTAACAATTATTAGGCAAGATTTTCCACACAAGAGTCGCCAGTGTTGCTTACACATACTCATTAGCTGCGTCTATACATGGACCACCTATGGACCCACACTCTTTACATCCAATGTAATGTAGGTTACCCATGAACAATACGCATATAGACCGTGCCACAGGTTGGTCGTTGTTCCATCATCAGTGCAATTTTCCTCAACTTTGTGTCATTAAAATGTGTTCTAAATATGTGTCTTCTTTTAAACCAAATTTGTTATGTTCTGTAAAAGTGTACTGAAAATTTGGGAGCCAAGAAGGAGTTCAGTTAATACCCAATTGGCTCCGGTGGAAGAAGGTACTCAATAGACTTATTTTGCCACTTCTTTCTGTTGTCGCCACCGACTTTTATTTCCGGTTGTACACACATTTTTTTCTCCAATGAGTATTACAATGAAAATTGCCAGCTGGACTTAAGCTCTATCCTTCCACTTACAACTTACATCAGGTTGAACCAATTACAGTCCAAGATGATTACTAACAGAAGGAATAACCCAAATAGCCCAAATAGGTTAAACAACTTCCAAAGGAACAAAAAACAGCTATTCATGCTTATCTCCTGAATAATAAGGCAGCAAATCTGTCCAATAAACAGGTTAAATACTGTGGAAAATTACACGAAAGAACCCATACCACTGGATGGAATTATACAATCACAATAATTATGATTAAGTAAAGAATAACCAATAGCCCAATGACCAGGGGATATCACAGATGGCATGAAATGCCAACCCCACCTGCAGAAGAGTATCTGCAGGGCCATTATCCTGGTATGACCCTACCCCCACTTCCGCCCCTGCAAGATATGCAGAGGAAGACCCTGGAAAGAGGTCCTAAGACCTGAAAGTGAGGCATTATTTTTATTTTTATTAAATTTCTCACCAATCAAGTTCCTATTGCACGGAACTTGCTAATCCCCCCCCTTGTTTCTCACACCCGACTAATTTTGTATGTATGCGTAAATGAAATTATGTAGGCTGGCTACTTATCATCGGAAGAAGGGTAGGGGGAGGCATCTAGGTTAAGTGTAAAAAATGCCAGTGCATTGTGCAGATTTTCACAGATTGCCAGTTGTGGACAAGTGCAGACCATCTCACCAGTATACTGCGTGTTGGGTAGGGTTGATATTATGAAAATGGACAATAGCGTGTGCATTACCCAGTCTCTTTCCACCCTTTGTGCACAAACTTGTTCAATGCCCTTCCCCTATCCTCGAGCGAATATCCTTCAGTGGAGTAGTAAACAGATCATTTGTGCCCAAATAAATGATCTGGGTGTATGGGACTGGGTGGCTCTACGTGTGGCGGTTGAGGGAGGGAATCGTGGCCGAGAGTCGGGCTCTATAAACACCCTACCATTTGAAACATCCAGAAGAAGCACAGTGTGGTTCCAACAGGCTTGCCCAGAACACTATGCTGTCCCCCACCACCCATGTGCGGGTTGTACCTGAGTGAAATACTAAACAAAGGAAAAAGGGGAGCAAGAACCTGGCAACAGTTGGCGGACAGGGAGGGGGGAGAACTAGAGACATTGAATTATCAGATCTTGCTTCTTTTTTCTTCCTTTTTTTGGTTTGTTTAAATTTTTAGGTTACATTAATTACCACCTAGGAGAGTTCACACTGTTTGGCTGAATGTACATGTACATGTTTACTGCTGCCAATTTCCACCTGCCCAATGACTGAATATCTGGGACTGGAATGCCATTTAAGGCTGCAGAGGTGGCAGCACTTATGCGGAAACTGTGGCCACTATACCCCTGAGAAGGCACACCTAAGGCATCAAGGCATTTTTTGAGCATATGCCGGAACTGGTATGAACTTAAAGGGGAACCATCGGCTTGCACAAGCAGGGTATCCCCGAGGGGAGGCCGTATGCCTATATACAGTAAAATCTCTGGGGAATGGACCAAAAATTTGAGTTATCCGAAATTCGAGTTGAAGACAGGTCACGATTTCTTTTGAAGTTAAGTCATTATTACGATGTGTATCATAACATGTACCTATAGGCTGACTCACAGTTACTGTAAAACTCCCTACAATGACTTTTGAAATGACATTGTGGTTATTTTATACTTTGGTGCCACAAGTTTTAGTTCATAGAAAGACATTTTTGCGGAGGATTTTTGTTGTCAGTCGGCTGATAAATAACACATTACATGTACCGTAAATCATTTAAACTGTGCACCTTTGTGTGGCAAATCTTTTTGCATTATGCATGTGTGACGCATTGTGGTAGTCCCATTTCTGATACCGCACCGCAGTGCCTTGCACATGCATACTTGGGCGGGGTTTCTCGATGAGTCAGACGACTTTTTTCATCACATGAGGGCGCACCTTTTTGCACTTCAATAAAATTTCATACAAACGAAAATGCTATTGGTGGTTTACACTTTCTGGAAGTATTTTGGCGGCGGTTTCTTTTGGACCTGGTACACAAAAACTTTGAAATAAACGAATCCGGCAACGTAAGCAGTTCAAGTTATGGATATGTTTTTGTACATTTAAGCCCATTCTTTCGGCGGGACTTAATTATTCTTCGAGTTAAGCGGAGTTTCGAGTTGACCGACTTTGAGTTATCAAGAGTTACTGTAGTGAACTATGGAACGCACAGGACAAAGTTGGGAGCATGATGTTGATGGAACCATAGCATCACTGAATTGCCCCGCTGGTCGGTTTTTGAATATCGAAGTCTGATGTTCATTATTGATTGGTCACACCCTTCAAACCAAATGTCATTGAGCTCTAATTTTTGGGAGTGGTCATCTTTTTTTACAGTTTTTTCCCCACACGGAAGAAGCCAAATAAGGCTAGTAAAAATGCCGAACGAAACAGGAATGTCTCGAGCTCAGATAACACGATAGAACCTATGGTGCGGCAAAAACTTCCCAACAAATCTGGTGTGATAGGATGCCTGCTAGCCTGACTGTGGTTGTTCCTACAGCAACCCTTCCTGAGCTTTTGAACCAAAAAGTTCTGAGAAGAATCTTGCCACCCCTGTAACTTGTGCCCAATCCAATCGCTGACACATATGAGCTTATTGTGGAGGGGGCCAATCCCCTTATTGATAGATGTGCAATAAATGCCGCTACGTGTACACTGGGGGGTGGGCCAAGAGCATTGCAACCCTGCAGGATGTGCTTTGACGCCGGTGTGATCAAAAGATTTTCCTGGGCATTTTCAGACATGGCAAGAGACAGCAACGAAATCAATGCAAGGAAAATACCAACAAGCAAGCCTTGATGAGGGATTCAAAATCACTAGTAAGGGAGATCATGAGTGTAGGCAAGGCTGCAAGAAGGTTTTCACAAGAAGGGCCGACCGGGATCAACATAACCGGCGCCTACACAGTCAACAGAAACTGTAGGAAAATGCAACAGCTCTTTTCAGAGCCATACTAATTCAAAAAGATATCGGTTCATGATACTGCCGGTTTGAATTAAAAATAAAGATTTTCTCCCCTACCCATATCCGCTCAATGAGTCCCCCTTGTCTTGAGTATTTTCTTTTCACATGATGTGTGAAATAGACTCAACATTCGAATAAAATAAAGGATGTTGAGAAATATTCAGAAATATA